TGTAACCCACAGGTCTGTGTCCTAACCATTAAGTTGTTATCAGAGTAAATCCCTGTTCAACATGAGTCTGACAACTAAGTAAGTAGATAAATAACTTTAGACTTTAATACATGCTCTGATAGGCTGGGATCGGGTCGGATTGGGAAAAAACCTGGATTGGGACATCTCTACCACAAACTTCTCCTGTAACTCTGTAAATGTTCCCTGTCTAACTGTGGGCAGCGTTCCCCCGTGAGCCCACAAAAAGTCTGATTACGCCATTTTGGGCTCCGCTTAGACGCTTCAGTAGCAGGAAATAAACACATCTCTCTGTCAGGCTGATTTCATGTGGAAAACACGCCTCTTTCTGACTGATGCGCCGTCTTTTGGCAGGTAAAAGCCCCCTGTGCAGTCTAGGGATGTCCTGATCCAGCTTTTATCACTTCCAATCCGATCCCGATCCCGGCCTATCAGAGCATGTGTTAAAGTGTAAAGTTATTTATCTGCTTACTTAGTTGTCAGACTCATGTTGAACAGGGATTTACTCTGATAACAACTTAATGGTTAGGACACAGACCTGTGGGTCAGGAGATGCTAATGCTAATGCTAACGCTCGTGTAGGATCGGACTTTAAAAAAAAACTGGGTCTGGATGTTAAAATATTGGTACGTTGGTTTAGATATTCCCATCAGAATACACTGTAATTCCTATAATTCGTTGCATAAACCTACGATAACTCCTTAATAAATACGGCCGATAATTACACATAGCAATAAAACAAATTACTTAAAGAAGAGAGATGGAAAAATAAATAAATAAGAAAGAAATAATCAATAAAAAGGGGTTTTATGGCCCGTTCCAGCTTTTTTCACTTCCGATCCAGATTTCGGATCGGGACCAGCCTAATGACTACTAACAACGAGAATGATCAATAAAATGACCAGAAAAGCTTAAATAATCGGGTTATCTCTGTTTTTTTCTGTCCAGCTCAGGAGCTGAGGCAGGACGGGCCCGAGGACTCGGCCGTGGCTCTGCAGGACCTGAGCTGGGACCCGGGTAAGGCCACCCCCCCATTGCATGTATTAGATCAAATACATGCAAATAAACAGGGAATCAACAAAAAAACGTTTTTGTTTGAAATCCACCATCCTCACTGGTATCTTTTGGCCTATTTTGGACTGATTTGGGTCAGTTTGGATAGACTTTGAACCAGTTTTGGACCGGTTTAGCCCCCTTTTGGACTGGTTTGTGTTCGTTTTGTATTGGTTTGGGTCAGTTTTGGACCAGATTAGGTCCATTTTGGGCTGGAGTGGGTTAGTTTAGGTCCATTTTGGGTTAGTTCTGGTCTGTTTTTGACCGGTATAGCCAGTATAGCCCTAGATAAAGGCTGGACTGTTCTTTAAAACCTGCCCGTGTGTGTTTCAGAGGAGTGTGTGTACACACACAGCTGTCGCTGCGGGGGGAGATTCATCCTCCCGCAGCAGGAGGTGGAGGAGGAGAGGCAGAGGGTCCAGCGGGAGGAGGAGGAAGAAGAGGAGGAGGAGGTAGAGGAAGAGGAGGAAGAGGCTGGGCGTCCTGGAGGCGTCCTGGTGAGCTGCGACACGTGTTCCCTCACCGTGTTTGTGCGCTGGCCAGAAGATGGACAGACCTCAGAGGGGAAATGAACCCTAAACCTCACCATTCGCCTTAAAGGACAAACCTGACATCCAACCCTCTCTCCCAGATAAATGGGATGAAATAATCCCACACAACCCTCTCTCCCAGAAAGGGTTTGGAGCTCAAAGACAGAAGCCAGCCTCACTGTGACGGGGTGTAACTACGAGATCCTATTAAAATTTCAAGTTATTTATTCTACTTTCTTAGTTGTCAGACTCATGTCGAACAGGGATTTACTCTGATAATAACTAGCCAGCTGAATTAGGGGAGTGTGAATAATACACACTGGTTGGTAAAGAGACACTGACCTGTTTATTTAGGGATAAACACAAAATGGGATAAAATAATCCCTCATAACTGATGTTTTTACCGATAGCTTCACATTAACATGGCCGACTTAATGGTCAGGACACCAACCTGTGAGCTAGAAAATGCTAATGCTAATGCTAAAGGCTGTGGTGGAAAATGACCAGACCGGATATCAGGGAAAAACACAGCAAAGTGGATATAATTGTTTGAATCGGTGTGCTGGAAAACACAAACTTAAAAGAAAAACTGGATCTGGAGTCTGGATCTTCATTTTCTCCTGCCGGCCGATACGCAGTTTTTTGTAAATATCGGCGGCCGATCCCCACACACACACCCTGACACGCTCCACATAGCTATAACCCCAGAATCTCTGGGAGGTCTAACGGAGCTGAGTACTGGGGACTCTGGTCCAGATCTCAGGGCCCTGTTCTCTGGCCCCCTCAAAGGCACAGAGAAGTGCCTAACCTCGTCTGGCTTCAGTCTTCTGCTGAGCACAGAAAATACCAACTATCACAATGACTTGAACTGGACTGAGTCTCTGAAGTGATCTGCTGCTTTGTAAATAAAATGGAAGTGATGGATTCTGATTTTTAGTCCGTTGATCTGAAGGGGGAAACTGTTAAAACAGAGATGAACTCAGCCGAACTCCTAATAAAACACATTATTTTTTTACTGCCTTTAAACATTTGGGTTTGGGTTAGGGTTAGGGTTAGGGACGTGGACATGCTCTGGTCTTTAGCTTTGAGCTCAGTTATTCGTTAACTCATGCAGACTTATTGTCCCAGACTTATTGTTCTAACTGTAAGTAGCTTCCTAAGAGAAATTACTCGAGTCTGGGCCTGTTTTTGCCTTTTGTGTGGCAGAAAATAATCCAAACTGTAGTCTGTGTCTGGATGCTTTTTCAAGAACAAAGCTCAGATAAAGATGACACTGTAATGAGGAAAAGCATTAAAAACCTATTGGACATTTTCCTCAGCCTAAACAAGCTGATGGTAAAATGTAATCATCAATAATTCGTTTAACTTTTGTGAAATTACGATCACATAACGAAGCAACAAGAAAAGCAAAAATATGGTCAAATATGTGAAATGCAAATAAGTTTAATGTCTCCATGTTGCATCTTGCTATCTATAAAAATGATTTTACACCAAATGAAGACACATTTAGAAATGAAAAACATGATTTTTTTTACTTTTGTGAAATTATGATCACATAAAAAGCAAAAATATGATCAAATTTGTGAAATGCAAATAGGTTTAATGTCTCCGCGTGGCCTCTTGCTATCTATAAAAATTATTGTGACACATTTAGAAATTAAGAACATGATTTTAGCTAATAAAATACGAACAAAAACCCTGTTTTA